ACACCATAATCATCTTTCTTAATACCCACTCTCCCCCTTCTACTTAATTATGGTTGAGGGAGTATCCATAGGGGTAATTTAGAGAAAATTGATAAATATGATAAATGGTTCTTATATTTAAAACCAAAACCAACTCAAGAATTGGATCCTATATTAAGGACCAGAGGAGTAATATAAAAAACATCAACCTTTATGAGATTTGCTACTATTATTACATGATTTTGTTAACCATGTTACTGAAATTATAAAAATGCTACTTTTTGAATTTTTCAAAAAACCTATTGTTAAATGCTATATTGAAGTTGTTAATAGAGTTACTGAACTTATTAACGTCATTACTGAAATTGTGAAAATACTACTTTTTAAACTTTCTGAAAAGCCTATTGTTAACTGCTATACTGAACTTGTTAATAGCATTACAAAACTTATTAACTGTTTTACTAAAGTTGTAAAAATTTTCAAAAAAAAAGTAGTTACTAAAGTTGTAAACATGCCATTTTTTTAATTTTTTTTAGAAAATCTATTGTTAAATGCTATAACGAAATTGTTAATAGAATTACGGAACTTGTTAATGACATTACTGAAGTTCTAAAAATGCTACTTTTTGAATTTTCTGAAAAACCTGTTGTTAACTACTATATTGAACTTGTTAATAGCGTTACAAAAGTTGTTAACCATTTTATTGAAATTATAAAAATTTTAAAAAAAAATTATTGCTGGCCATCGAAGCTTCGGCAACTGACCGGCCAGTGAAGGCATTTCTTTTTTAAAAAAAATAAATAAAATAAAGGATAATATGGCCACTTCATAAAATTTATAAATGTCAAATTAGTTACTTATGACTAAATTGATATTTTACAAATTCAAGTGATTATTTTAGTATTTCCTAGTTCAAGTATTTTTTTTGTGTCATTTTTCTTTTTATAAAACTTTTACATTGATTAGTAACAATAAACGATAATATGTTCTTAGTGTCAATGCAGTGTACATTATTTCTTTTTTTTTTTTTTTAAGAGAGAGAAACTTACTTGTGTGTGTTTCGGCGGGCATCTTACTCCCCTCCCTGTTTTGCGCCGATTCCATCAGTTACTGTTGCCTTCTGTTCAATGCTTTCCCTTACACGAGCTCATCTCTCTCTTGGTGCACTAACCCAATCGCTATCTTCACTCCCTCCGCTAAACAAGTTCCTGTTGAGGTGCTGCCACCACTCGATCACCGGCGCACTGGCCACCGCCGCCGCCTCCAGTGCTGAGTTCCCCCCGCATTGAGTCCCAAACCCACCTACCAACTCTGCTCAGCACCTCCACTTGTGGGGCCCCTCGACCTCATCACCGCCACCATCGTCGTATCTTTGATTCTCTCCTTATGCGACCATCATCTTTCCGGCGGGAAGGGAATGTTGGATAGCTTCTTCAAGCCGGACGGGTCAGACTCAGATCCTTGGTTTTGGTATCTCTTCCCTTTTCCCAAAGACTCAAATCAGTGAACCAAACCGGCCTAGTTTTGGAGCTGCATTGGGCAGTAGCGATGGCGCATGATCAGATTGTTCCGTCCCACTAATTATACCAGACGATCATGCATCACTCTATCAGCACATTCTATTTCCTCTCAATTAAGCCACCCCCACCATTACCAATCCACGGCTTCTGTGGACTTCGATTCCCATCTCTACGCGGCTACGCTTCAAAAATGCATACACAATGGTGACTACGGCTCCAGAAAACGCCATCACTGTCATATCATTAAGACAGGCGCTTCTTTGGACTTATTTGCATTCAACGTTCTTCTTAATCTGTATGTAAAGTCTGACTCTTTGACCGATGCATCTCAACTGTTCGATGAAATGCCCAGTAGTAATACTGTTTCCTTCACTACATTGGCTCAGGGTTACATGCGGTCACTTCAATTCCCTGCAGCTCTTGACTTATTCCTTAGGTTATTCAGAGGAGGCCACCAGCTCAATCCTTTTGTTTTCACCTCCCTTCTCAAGTTGCTTGTCAGTATGGACCGCGCACAGATGTGTTTCTCTATTCATGCGTGTATTTATAAGCTTGGTTATCACTCTGACGCGTTTGTTGGTACTGCTCTTATTGATGCCTACTCTGTTTGTGGGTGTGTTGATGTTGCTAGAACTGTTTTCGATGACTGCTTTTACCGTTCCTTACAATTTTTCTCCCACATGAGGCTAATAGGTTACAAACTAAACAACTTTGTCATCGCTGCGGTGCTCAAGTCCTGTCTTGGCATAGAGGCCTTTCGGCTTGGCATGAGTATTCATGCATCTGCTTTGAAAACTCATTATGAACAGGATCTTTATGTTGGCCTTGCATTGCTGGAATTGTATAGTAAGTCCCAAGATCTTGATGCTGCACGGCAATTTTTTGAGGAAGTGCCTAAAACTGATCTTATTCCTTGGAGTCTAATGATCGCTTGGTGCGCTCAGAGTGACAATAGTGTAGAGGCTTTGGAGTTGTTCCAGCGTTTGAGGCAATCATCCATTGTCCCTAATCAGTTTACATTCGCTAGTCTATTGCAAGCTTGTGCGGCTTCACCTGCATTAAATTTTGGGGGAGCAAATTCACTCTTATGTCCTGAAAGTTGGTCTTGACTCAAATGTGTTTGTGTCTAATACTCTCATTGATGTTTATGCCAAGTGTAGTAAAATGGAGAACACTATGAAATTATTCGTGGAATCACCTGAGCATAATGAAGTGACTTGGAATACCATGATTGTTGGTTATGTGCAGTTAGGAGACAAGGAGAAGGCACTAAATATGTTTGTGTCCATGCTTGCTTATCCCATACAGCCAACTGAAGTGACATACTCCTGTGTTCTTCGTGCCTTTGCGAGTTTAACATCATTGAATCAAGGACATCAGGTTCATTCTTTAACTATCAAAACCATATATGATAAAGACACTGTAGTTGCCAATTCATTGGTAGATATGTATGCCAAATGTGGCAACATTCGTGATGCCCGAATAGTATTTGATAAGATGGGAAATCGAGATGAAGATTCATGGAATGCTATGATCTGTGGATATTCCATGCATGGCCTAGGTGTGGAGGCTCTAAATATATTTGAAATGATGCGACAATCTAATTGTAAACCAAATGAACCAACTTTTGTTGGTGTCCTATCTGGATGTAGCAGTGCAGGACTGCTAGATAAAGGACAAGTACTCTTTAAGTCAATGATGCAAGACTATGGCATCGAACCTTGTATAGAACATTACACTTGCATGGTTTGGCTTCTTGGAAGGTCAGGCCATCTTGAGAAAGCTGTGAAACTCATTGGTGAAATTCCATTTCAGCCTGGTAATATGGTGTGGCGAGCATTGCTTGGTGCTTGTGTCATCCACAATAAAATTGATCTTGGAAGAGTCTGTGCCCAACGTGTACTTGAGATGGATCCACATGACGATGCAACCCATATACTTCTGTCAAACATGTATGCCACAGCAAGGAGATGGGACGATGTTGCTTCTATTAGAAAAATTATGCACACAAAAGGAGTCAGGAAGGAGCCAGGGTTAAGTTGGATTGAGGATCAAGGTGTGGTTCACTATTTTACTGCAGGGAACACCTGTCATCCTGACATTAAACTTATCAGTGCAATGCTTGAATGGTTAAACAAAAAAACTAGGGAGGAAGGATATGTACCCAATATCAATGCCGTTTTGCTTGATATGGAGGATGTTGAAAAAGCACATCTCTTGTGGGTTCACAGTGAAAGATTGGCTCTTGCATTTGGACTGATTCGATTGCCGTGTGGTTGTCCTATACATATCATAAAAAATCTCCGTATATGTGTAGATTGCCACATTGTTATGAAGTTGGTCTCCAAAATTGTGCAGCGAGATATTATTATCAGAGATATGAATAGGTTTCACCATTTTCAGCATGGGATTTGCTCCTGTGGTGATTATTGGCGAATGACGTAATTCGAGTTCCAGAATCACAAATTCCCATTTTCATTTGCCGTTGCCTGCAAGAAATTCTTGTTTCACTTGAATGTAAACTTGTATATGCAAATGGTCATGTCATATATGGTGTCATTACCAGGGATAATTCTTTCTTGATCTTAGGATCTTGTCACTGGCTTTTCTTCGAGCAAAACTTTCAAACAAAGATGTGAAGTAATATGCTTCTTCTTGATACTTCTATTGTTTCATCCTCACCTCTGCTATGTATGTTTCATTACATCACTGGGGCAACTTTGCAGGCCATTCGCTTTACCTTTTTTGCCTATTAAGATCTTACTCTTCTGTTACAAAAGAGGTAATAATGCTTTACTGCTTCCACTTCATTTTATTTATGTTGCTCTCTCTTAGTCATTCACCTCACACTTTATTTGACTTACTTTTGGACCATCAATTCTGCCAAAATGTGGCCCACCCTACATTGTCGACTATTTGTTTTTGGGTTGTGCATCTTGTGCAGGATTGAAGAGGTCAAGAAAACTTGGATAAAGTGCTTTTGGTGATAGCTATGAGATTATTCCGTTTAACATAAAAGTGAGAGAAGTTCTTAGGAAGAATAGTTCATCTAATGCTGAATTTACTAGCTTTTATGAGTTGATCTCTGTTTCAAATATGCCCATTTCCTACAGTTATCTTGGCAGGAACGAGCTTTCGGGCACAATTCGTCCTCAACTTTTTTATCGAGAATCACCCAATATTTATCATTTTCTTGGCAAACAATATTTATCGATTTAGACTCTTTCAATATAACTATCAAAGAAAATTATGCTGACTTTCCTACTCAGATTGGTTGGAACATAAAAAAGCATAGAATACTGATACAGAGGTTCAATAAACTGAATCTTCTGATGATGCCCTAATGTATCGCCCGAGTTTCTAGCTTCATTTGGCATTACTGCAGTGGCTTTATTTTTCTATGTTACATTTAATATTGGTTTTTATTTTATTTTATTTTTATACTAACAAGTTTGTGTTCCAAACTACCAATCAATCCTTATTGCATGTGCTTTAATGCAGAAAAATCCAGTTTTCACCAGATGGAAGGGTGTAATATGGTCGGGTCTGCGGGGAGACTCTCCATTCATTGTGATGGCAAAACAGACTCCTTTTTTTTTTTTTTTAAGCCACGGAATTACTGAGAAACAATGCTGCTTAGACTGAAGGAGGGAACTTGACCAGAGCTTCTTTTGCTATAGTCTAAGTGTTTTGTGCACTGTATTGAGTCATAATGTTTATGGTTTATAAAAAGGGTAAATTGTATACAACTTTCCTAAACTTTATGTCATGTACAAATAACCTTCATTTTTAACGTTTTACAATAAATCCTCCTAAACTCTTAAATTTATGTGGACAAGTTTCATGTTATTAATTTTGTTCTCTACCCTTATGCATATGACTTAAAGTTTAATGAAGTTGCATGCATATAATTCTAAGTTTGTGAAAATTATATGTACACAAAAATAAAATTTAAGGAGGCATGTGAGGGTTGTCTGAATAAAATTAAAAGTTTGGGTGGGTCTATTATTAAGTTTTAAATATTAAGGGAAATGTTCAGGTTCAAAGTTTGGGGGAGATTTTCCAATTTTATATTTCCGCCTGTGGGCTTTCCTTGCCCTGAATGCTATCTAGGACATGGTCAGGTCCGGATTCTCTCAACTGGAGCGTCTCTCAGCATCCCGGCATGTTTCACCATATTAATCTAAGAGCCCACAATATGTCACATCATCATACTGTTAAAAATTGAAAACAAATCTAACTGATGCCATATTTTTTTTTCCTAAATTTCCTAGGGGTGAACAGCTAATTTTCTTGGATCTACTTATTTTAACTCTAAAATTTATTAAGAGTCGAAAGGGATATAAATTAAGTCGCATAGGACCACAAAAAAAGGCAAAGTTCTTCCATCAACTATTTTAATTAAAAATTAAAATAAAATAAAATACTTGGTATACTTCTACCACTCTTTATGGTCCCGATTGGCTTGATGTATACCAGAAAAAATTAAGATAAATCTTTCAATTTAAGTTGAATAGGTCAAAAAAAATTATATATAAATATGTGATGGTTGATGTTTTCATCATTTATGGTCATCTAGACAAGTCTAGAGTCTGAACATATCATAAATCCTCTAGTTGAAATGAGATAGGTAAAAATAAATTGGCGTTACATGCTAACAAAAACTTAAGAGTTGTTTGGGAGGTTTCAGAAACATTTTTAAAATATATTTTTATACAAATCAAAATAAAATTTCTCTCACATACTTATATTAAATTTTACAAAATTACTTCTAAAATCTTAATTTAGTTTTCATCTAAATACCTCTTAGTCGAAAGTTGGTAAAAAAAATTTATTTCTAATTTTTAATAGCATTATGATGTGGCACAACTGCCACAACATGAGCTGTGTGCCTGTGTTAGATTAACTTTAACGGTTGCTAGTTGGACGCTGAGAGTATCCTACTCCCAAGTGGTCATGGTGTGTTTATATTTTTTAATATTAATTATATTTTATATAAAATATTAAAATAGTATTTCAATTCAATCCATTTTTTAAATTGTAAGTATTAAAATTTTTAAATATAAAAACCGTTCATAGCATTCGATCAAGCAATGAGAAAATACTTAAATTTTTTTTTTCAGAGAGAAAAGACTTGCACACATGAACTTGCAAGAAAATTTTACATTGGTTTTGGGCCAGCAAGAAAATTTTACATCGTTGACCACGCCTACATGCGTACGTATATATAGGTACCTGAAATCAAATACTAAAGGGTTAAATTTAAGCATCATCAAGCTTAATTAAAAGTAAATCTCTTTAAAATATTTTTTATGCTCACATGAGCTCATTCTTCAAGTTCATTATTTCATATTTAAACATCTATTATTCATCAATAACTTACAAGTTAAAGTTATATTTCCTTTTTAATCGCACAATAGTCGTATGTTTTTCATTGTTACAAAGTATTTGTCTTTCAATTATTATTTTTTGTACAAAATATAAATATACCCCCTTGTTTACCCAAAGAGAGGGGGGGAAAAAAAAAAGCCCCCCTCGGTTCACAACAATTATTACTTTAAAAATGCTTTTGACTTAAATACTCTCTTATATATATAATATATATATAATTTGAGGATTTTTTTTTAAAAAAGTGATAAACATTTTAAAAATAATAAAAGTTATAAACAACCATTTTTGTGAACCAAATTATGAAAGAGCTATTAGCCATGAACTTTCCAAGCGGAGAACAAGTCAATTATATATTCATGCATCAGAAGCGTAGAGATTGTGGCATGTGAGATGGAAGTTGAAGCATTCAGCAATTAGTTAGTCCAGAGTGCAATAATACTGATTTCCATTGGGCTTGCAGTCTATGTCTGTCCTTATAAAAGAAGAGTCCACAGATATTTATTTCAACAAATATGATCTGATCTCTTTTTTTAAAAAAAAAAACTGGGTCAAGTTTTTTATATCAATTATATCAAATTCTCCAATCACATATAGTTATATTTCCTTTTTGTTTTATGTGAATTTCTGATTAAATACGATTAAATAATACTATTTAAAAATAGGATACATGGTCATATGAAATTGGAAAACGTGATATAATGAATATAAACAACTTGACTTTAAATAACATTAGACTATATATATATATATATATATAAGATACAATGGATTAAAATCTATAACCAACTCCTGGAGACATATATAATACATATTTATAAGAAAAGTTAAAACATTGAACGCTATGATTATTTGACTAAATTAAATTATAAAAGATAGCTTGTTTAATTGAATTAAATTATTTGATTATTTATTTTCGATTTTTTGAAAAACCAACTATCTAGTCCAGTCTAAATCAAAATAGGATGCCAGGTTTACCAGAAAAAAGAGATTAAATTCAATTATTTTAATGAAAACCAAGTCGCATACTAAATTAAAATGGGATATAGCAGCTTCAAATTATTAAAATAAATAAATTTGAATGATAAAATATACTTCTAAGGTCCTAAATATAAGATATATTTTATAGTACAAATTACGCTACAAAATAAGTCTTATATTTAGGATAGGAGGAGTATTATTAATGTAATTGGGTTCTCATCATCTCTTATAAAGAACAGTTTATATTATAGTCTCAGCCAAAATTAGAGGACTAATCATACTCTTTTAGTCCTATTTATAAAGTAAGAGAGAATATTTTTTTAGTCATATTTATAAGTCATTTTATTAAATTTTTAGCATTAATATACCGCTTTATACTTCATTTATTATATTGTAAATAATTATTTTCTCTAAAAAGTATATATGTTAAATAGGGGTAAAGTGAAAAAAATTATTATATTTTAATAAAGAATTAATCCAATTTAAAATTTTTCTTAGTTTATATAAAACATGCTAAAAGTTTCTTATACTCCTCTGGTACCATTTATAGGATATAGAGAAAAGATATTTTTTGATCTTATTCCTAGGACATTTAGAAATTTTTTTATGTAGATATACAATTTTATCTTTTATTTAATATTATAATATATATTAAATTGGAATAAAATTAAAAATTTATTAAATTTTAAATAAAAATTAATAAATTTTAAAATTTTTCTCGTCCCCTCTCAAACATATTAAAAGTGATTTACAAACTGAACCAAATGAGTAGATAGGAGTAGAGTAGCAGTCGTTGTTGTGTTGGCTTCTTTCAAATTTGGTGTATCTATTTATTTATTTTTCTTGTAAGTAGTTGGATGAATTTATTGATCACAGGGCCATCATCTTCAATTTAGTTAATGATATGTAGGAATGCATGGTCAATATTGCTCTTATTAGTGATTTGCCAGTTATCTGTTCAATCTTCATAAATCGACTTCAGCTAAATATGACATATGGGTTTACAAAATAAAATACTATAATTTAAATCCTCCAACCAAATAATAGAAATAATAATAACATAATAATAATATCATACTTATATTAATTTCTTTATATACATTATGTCAAGTTTTCTAATCATATGTTACTATGTGTCCTAGTTTTGAAATATTATTATTTAATTATAAACTTACATTAATAAAATAAGACACTATAGTCATATATGATTGGAAAACTTAATCTAATGGATATAAGGTATTAAAGCTAAGTGTTTTTTTTTTAAAAAAATATTAACTCTTCAATCTTAAATATACTAACAACAAGTTTAATTTAAGAAAATTATGTGAGTCTATCATTTATATAAAATATGTAATGATCTTTCTAAAATAAAATTCCTTTTATTATTTATATTGGAGTATTATCAATATAGACTATACATTGTACATTGGAAGAAATAATAAATATAAAGAAAAAAATAAAAGATGTTAAGTTTTTATGTTTAGAATAAAAAAAACTTTTCAATTATTTAGAGTTAGAGAGATTATAATATTTAGATCAGTAGATATAATATCCCAGTGTTCATTATAACAAATGTCATCCATGTTATTTTCATATTTTAGGAAAAATTACAAAAAACTACCTATTAAATTCTTAAAAAGTATGTCATGCTAACTACTCTGGTAATGATTTTAACTGTTTTTGTAATGATTATAACTACTCAAAATATGTCAAAATTACCTATTTATTATTTTAAAATTTAATAAGTATTTTTCTGTCTGTTTTTTAATATTTTAGATGATATTTTATACTCTCCAATATTTAGATACATTTACAAGGTTTTTTTTCTAAAGGTTAAGATTTTTTTCTGGGGACCATAGGCGTGGGAAGGTCAATTTTCATTCAATATTATTTTGAATTTATTTAATAGAGAAAAAAGGAGCGGTGAGAATTTTGTCCTGAAAAAATCCCAAACAAATACCTTTAAAATTTTAAAATCTCAAATTAGGAATAACTATAAAAATATATTGTTATTTGCATTTTAGATTTTGTGATTTAAAAGGTTTTTTTTATTCTCCTTTTTATCCTCCTCATAATAGAGCTAACCGTCAGGGTTATGCTGTTGGGCAAAACTATGAAAATAGGAATAAGGAGTAAAATGTCAATCGCTTTTATTGCTAGATCTGTGTAGCATTCTTAATTTATTAATAAAAAATTGCCAAAAACATTTCTAAAAACAAGTTTAATGATGATGGTGCTCAGTTTCCTCAAAATGAATTTAGTCATAAAAGAATAAGAGACGTGGCATTTTGTTTAAATAAATAAATTTAAATTGTTAAAATTTGAAGAATATTATTATAAATTAGATTTTCCCAATTTTTTTTTATAGTTGTAAAGTATTCAGATCGAATTTTAATGACTTAAATTTATGGCATCCTTTCTAAAAATAAAGTTTTTAATGGAAGACCTTTCCCAATTATTTTCTCTATATAAGGAGGCAAGGTTTTATATATTTCATTTAACATAAAACTGCCATGAGGCTGGGGAGAAAGTGGAAGTGCTGCTTTGTGTTGAAAATGGGTGAGAGAAGGGTTCATGAGTTGCTATCTCTGCATCTTCTTCTCAACTTCTTGCTGCTTTCTTTTGCAGCGGAATCAACATCCATGGAAGAAGATAGTAAGTCCTCTCTTATCAGTTTCTCTTCTTTCTCTTCACTGCAGAACTCTGTTTTGGAACCATCTTACACAATCCACCTTTATAAACTATCTATCTTTCATGAAAAAGTTGATGGAATATTGACTGATGTTTGAAGGTATTCAGTAAATTTAAGGGATCTGAACTTGTTGAACAAAAACTGATGCTTCTCATATGGCTTACAACTATGTACGTAGATGTATACGTTTGTGCTCTTTTAATTTTTTAACTTAATGTAAATAAGGAATAGAAGGTTGAAAAGATATTTTTTAAAATCAAGAAGAAAACTAAAATCTCGAATAAAATTACAGGATTAAATAGACTCCACTTTGTAACATCAGATTCTTCTCAAAGTCACACAGATGGCCATCTCAGCAAAGTTTTAGTTCTTTTTCTTTTTCTTTTTTTTGACAAAAGAGGGCTAGGCCCAACAAAACAAGATCAAGCCTCTGGGTATTCAGATTCCAAACTCCCCTGAATCAAAAGCCATCTCTTGATCTTATTGGGTGTTTGGATATCCTTTTCACAAATCAAGATAAACTCCTTTATATATTTACCTCATAGATGGTAAAATCACTTCTGAAACTATAGGTTGATTTTCATCTAAACACCTCCTGAGTCTTACATACCCAACTTACTTAAATTTTTTTCGGAAAAAAGAAAGGGGCAAAGATTTCAGATTCGAAGGGCAAGAGAGCACTTGAGAGGATTTAGAAAGTAAATTTTTTTGCAAGTGAATCGGCCAACTTGTTTTGCTGGAAAGTTGAAATAATACCTTCGATCCTAAATATAAGGATTAGTTAATAAATTTGAGTAGATGAAAAACATAAATTAAGTTAGTTATTTGTAATAAATATATATTGTTTTTCTTAAAATATCTTTGCTAATCAAGTATATTGACCATAACTAGAAGTATTTAATTTGTTTTGTCCCAACCTTGGTTCCTGTGAGTTGGGGATGGAACAAAAAATTTTTTTAAGATTGGACAAGTACAGGACAGGATGGGACAGGAACCATGACAGGATGAGATGAGGAATATGATCGTCCCACCTTAACATTTTAAAAAAATATTTATTAATAATTATTATTAGATTATTCAATTTACTTATTAATAATAATAATTATTATTATTTTTATAGTGATTTTTAACTCTTAAGTTGTAACATTCTCTCAATAAAACCTCCTTCCTTAATAAAATGATTCATAAAACCATTATATAGCGTTTTTTTTAACAATATTTCTTTAAATTATTGTTTTTATACCTTTTTCATAATATATAATTGAGCTTTCTTTGTAATTTTTTTATAATGTTTTTATCTTTAAAAGCTCAATGAAAAATAATTATTATAACATAACAAATTCATGCAAAAAATTATTTTTTTTAAAAAAAAGGGAAAACGGGACCTCTCGAGACAAAATTGGGACCGGACGGTACGTGACAAAAATCCTGTCCCATCCCGCGAACACTCTTTAGCTGTAAGTATCATTATTAGAAAGACTATTTTTTTAAAAAAAAGATAAATATAATAAATAAAGTAAATTAGGGTTTTATATTAAGAATTGAAATAAGAGTTTTTTTATTAAGGGGGTGTTTGGCTATTGCCAAAAGCACTTCTTAAAAGTATTTTTTTGCAAAACGAAACAAATTTCTTCATATATTTATTTTGTCAATAGTAAAAACACTTTTAAAATTATGATTTAGTTTTTATCCAAACACCTCATAATAACAGCAAGAGACGGGAGGTAGTAGCTTCTATATTTATATACCAGTCAACTCGTTATCCTCTAGATGATGATATCAATGTGCAGCAATTGGCATCTCTTCTTTAATGCAAGTATGAGGAGCTCCCTTGGATTTTATGCTAACTTGATTTTTTTAATAACTTGATTTTAATGTTTATTTAAACATGATCTTTTATTTTAAAAAATTAATATTGTTTTTGGATTGATTCAACTCAAATCACAAAAGCATCACACAGCATCTTTTTTTAATGATAGATTCTTTTCATTCCTTATTTAAAAGCATTATTTATGTCAAATCTTCCTCAACTTTTTCTTTTTTATGTAGGATTTTTTAAGATCCAAATGGTTTTGACTTTTGACAGAGTTCAGAATTTCAGATCATTTTAAAATAATTTTGATAAAATAATTAAAAAAATTAGGACCGAGATTTGACTAAGGCCAAAGGTCAAACAAGAAAAAAAAAATAAAGAAAAAATTTGAAGGAAATTCTTCCCCTCCACCATCTTGCAAGCATTGTAAAGAATCAATGACGGAAACCTACATTTGAATTCTTAACTGAGCATTGTGATGCAGTGAACGCCCTAGATTCTCTGAAGAACCTAATGCAAAACTTACCCCAAAGTTGGGAGGGTTCGGATCCTTGCAATGGCTGGGAGGGAATTTCCTGCACTGAGTCGCGTGTCACTTCCATGTAATGTCTCTATTCTCACTTGAATTTTCTTCCCAACTTTACTTCTTTTCTTGTGAAACTGAAACTTCATTGCAAGTATTTCAGAAAATTAGCAGGCATAGATTTAAATGGCCAGCTTTCTGCGGATATTGGATCGCTCTCTGAATTACGGGCTCTGTGAGTTTTTCACTCTTCGTTACGACTTCCATTTTCGGTTTTGGATGTCAATGTAACCACATGATCATGTTTCTAATCATTTCACGCTTGTTGTGAACTAAACATTTTCTACTTCAAGTGATAGGCATACCTTGTAATCATCATCTCTGGTTATCGTGCTGTTTGATTTCTTTATAAAAAAGTATCTAACTTTTAGAGATCTAAGATAAACATTTTACAAACTAAAAAGTATTATGTGTAGAGTTGCATGCATAACTTCGATCTCATTTGTTATTCCTCCTTTTGGTCATTAATATGGTTAACTCACTGGAGTAGATTAAAGATATTAGTTAAGTTAGTTATTTAAAATAAATAAATGTTTTTTCTAGCTTACTAATCACATGTATTAGCTAGAACTTCTATTTGATGAAGCCTTTAACATATGTAACTATTACAATGGCTGGAAAAAAAGAATAAATATGAGACAAAATTGATTAGTGCCTTATATTTAGGACTAAATTAAAAATCAAACTAGGTCTTATATTAAAGACCGAAGGCAGTCTCTTTTTCATGAAAAAGAATATCGCTGACTGGAAACCATGATGCAAACAGGGCGAGGTACGATATTATCTATCTAGTAGGGAGTAACGCCTACAACCTTCCTAAACTCGTGCTAATCAAGGCTCAGCATTATCAATCTCTGTCATCATCCACTACTCTATTATTTGTTATTCCCAATAATCTGAACATTGAGAAAATAAAGATTTTAGCTTAGTTTAACTTTTTTGAAGTCTTAACTTCTTGTTAAAATTACTGCAAAATGGTATTGTTATTATCATTATTATTATTATTTTTTAATTTGGTCTGAAATGGGTAATGTTTGTTGACCACTATTTAGTACCATATCTCAATTGAGTCGTGTATTGCATGGAGCTCGAGGCTCATGTAAACAATGCCGCTTGGTAGAGATTATTAAGATATAGCATGAATTTGTTGTATTCTTTTTATATCTTCTGATGGAACATGTTGAATAATTACACTTTGTCTATTTTGATCTCTATGGATCTTACCTCTATCCTCTGTGTATTAAAAAAGTAACCAGTTTTAATGCATGCACAGGTATATGTTTTACTTCTAATTTTCATATTTTGTAGGGATCTCTCTTACAATAAGAACCTAGGAGGACCACTTCCAAGAGAAATCGGAAATTTGAAGAAGCTGGAGGAATTGTAAGGAAGGATTGACTGTTGTTAGGATCATTACACAAACATGAATTTGTTTAATAAGAAATGATTAAGTACTCGATCTCTCATTTATGTTCCAGATTTATTGTCGGTTGTGGTTTCACTGGTCCTGTTCCAGATGAAATTGGATCATTACCAGAGCTTGCCTATTTGTAAGATTCTTTTTCTTTTTGTTTTTTTTTTAATCATTCTGTTATATAACAAAGATTATGTGAAAGGTAGGTTTTCTTTCAGGCATATATAATTTTCATTCAATCAAGGTTCTGTTTGTCTGGTAAGTGCTTTCACTTCAAGCTTTGTATATGACTCGATAAAGTTAAGCGCTCTATATATTTTGACTCAAGTTGAGCCTTGAACTTCAAAATTTTAATTTGATTGAGTGTGATCATGGGGCTACTATCAAAAGTAGGGCACGGGTTATGTTTGAATTTGTTGTTTTTATATTTAAATTCTTTCCATGGCTATACTTCACCTCTCATTTGTTGAGGTTAAATAAGTGAAGAATTGGTACGTTGTTAGTTAGTAATATGTTAAATTGTTAGTTCACCTTGGAAATCTTAATTACAATCCTTCTTAGTATATAATTAAGAGATAGATACATGTAAAATATATGTACAATTTGAATTTATATTTTCTCTGTGCCAATAGTTGAGCTCAGGATTGTAGTTCATTAATAACTGAAGGAAATATAGATTCTGTTGATATCTCTCATCTTAGTAGCTGTAAAAACTATGCTTCATTAATTTTTTTTTTTTTAATTGTTCTGCTATGACATTTGGTTGTCAAGGTAGACAAATTGAATCAGCAACTTCATGTTACAGATCTTTAAACTCAAACAGCTTTAGTGGAAGAATTCCAGCTTCCATTGGCAATCTATCAAAACTGCAATGGCTAGACTTAACTGATAATCAACTTGTTGGACCTATCCCTGTATCAAGTGGAGCTACTTCTGGTTTAGACATGCTGCACAATACACTGCACTTGTATGTCAGTTCTCCTCTGCAATAGTTTAGTGATGGTTTTTTTTTTTTTTTTTTACACAATAATGATCTATTTCATGTTATGTATCCTGACATATATTCATTGCCAAAAGTCATCTTGGGAACAACAACATCTCAGGAGCTATTCCTCCGGAACTTTTCAGCTCAAATATGGCACTGATACATTTGTAAGTGTCAGTATCTATTTCAGTTCAAATCTTTAAACTGTCAAGTGAAGGTTCATGAATAATTTTATTATATTCTCAAACACATCCTTCATTTGATGGCCCATTTGGCTCGAAGTGTGAACAAAGTATGGGTCCATCATACCTTATTTTCAGGCAAAATTTTAATCAAGAGAATGGGGTGCAGCAAGAGTCCCACTCTAAAAAGATTATGTGAAGAATTATTTAATTAAAAATAATAAGCTATCAATGGAAGGCCGATGAATATTATAATATTTTTTAACATTATGAACTATCCTAATTTTTGTCCTCTTAGCCATAAATATTCAATTATCAATTAGATATTACCATAAAAAATTGTTATTCAGCTTCTCCTAACTATAGGATGCGCTTGTCAGAAAGTGATGACTCACTATAGTACTTTTTGGGATAATATTCCTTTTATTTTCTTCTTTTTTCCCTTCCTGATCCATTGTTAATCAATAAATAAAATTACAAGATACTCCTTTGAACTTTGCTGAAACTACAGTGACCTCCGATCAGTTTTGCTAATTGTGCACCTAGCTGTCATTTTTGCATACAATGTAACATTCCCCGGAAAACTTGAGTGGCCGTAAAGAAGAAAGGGAAAGGAACACTTACATAATACTAAAACAGAGAATGAAAACTAGAGACATATTTGTTTATTTTATTTTTGTTCGCCTGCCAAGTTAAAAAAGCATATTTGTTTGGCAGGATCTTGGATAGCAATAAACTTACTGGCAACATTCCCAATACACTTGGACTTGCTCAAAATCTTACAGTGGTGTAAGTTTCCATATTATATCCTGCTCAAACTAATTCATAAACAGAAATATTCTTGGTGCATTTTTGCAGTAACATTCCTTTGCTGTCACAGGCGCTTGGAAAATAACTTTTTGACTGGCTCTGTACCTCAGGACCTAACACGCCTCCATAATGTTACAGACCTGTAAGATCATAAGCATCCTGCCAAATCAAATCGTGCTCATTTCATGTGTATTATTAGCATCTGCAGATGAAATTTTGTCATTGTTCATCAAGGTCCTCGATTTTATTTATGTTTGTCAGGATCATGTACAACAATAATCTGTCAGGTCCCATTCCAAACCTAAGTGGAATGACTTCTCTCCAGTACTTGTAAGTAAAGCGTATATCTCTTAAATGGTCCTTGAAGTTGTATCATCTCAATTTTAGTTCTCTGGAGTATTTTGTCTTCATGTTGGTGCTCTACCATGGCATGTTTAAGTGGCAGCTGAGCACCTAATGTTTGCATTAGCTTCACATTAGGCTTTGGTGCTCTTCTCTATTGATTGGATTTAACATAAGGACAACATTGAAGATAAAATACTGTTTGAAATACTAAAATGAAACCAGATTTCCTTGAGGACCAAATTTTCGTTTCAATTATTTTTGTGAAACTGGCTAAGTTTTTGAAATCATTCGTGTAGGGATATGAGCAACAATGACTTTGACCCATCTGAATTTCCATCGTGGCTTCAAAACTTACCACGTTTGAAATCACTGTATGTCTTTCTTATTTCACTTCTTGATCACATCAGTTCTGTGTGTGTTTGTAATTCAACAATCAAATGCTGTTAACCCTCCCCCCTTTTTTTTGGACAGAATAATGGGGAGTACGAATCTTGAAGGGAAGATTCCTGCTGCTTTCTTTAGTCTAGCCGATTTACAGACCGTGTAAGTGCCAAATTATCTATGCTCGTGATAATTGTGTTCATTATAGGAATAGTGTCATCCATGACAAATATTCCGCATGCGATCTTAGGGTTCTGAAGGACAATAAACTGAATGGAAGCCTAGAAATTGGCACCAACCACAGCAGACAACTGCAACTGATTGATTTGCAGAATAATCATATTGAGGATTTTAACAAACAATATGAAGCCTTTCGGATCACAATAATGTAAGCAATAGCTGTTAATGGTTCTGGTCGTTTTTCAATATTGTGTTGCATAGGTTATTTGATTATATCTGATGCAAAGTAAATTATGTAGAGTTTCCTTGAATTTTTCTGAAGTTAAATTGACGTCTTTTCTATTTTCAAATTCAATTTAAATTTCTCTAAATTTTGCTAATTAGGGTACCTCCCTTATACTCTGAACTACACGTACGGATGTGAAGCAAAAGGCAAAATATACACATCAGCCTCTAGTTTTCTTGACTTTACACCTAGTCATGCACTTTTTCTTTAAAAATCTTCACGAGCCTCCCCTGATAGTAGAATGGAAGCCTGTAATTAATTTCATCTAAAGTTAAAGAAGTTTTTGTAATTTACTCTTTTCTAGGGAAGGTTTGGGTAAATCTTGAAAATAAAAAGATACTATCTCTGATCCTTAATATAAGACCTCGTTTGATTTTTATTTTAGTTTAAATAAAAGACCTCAATCAACTTTTTCTCTCATATTTATATTTTTTTTTTCAAGGTAGTCCTTCTAATAATGGTAGTTCTACCTAATACACTTGATTAGTAAGGATATTTTAGGAAAGACAATATTTATTTATTACAACTAACTAACTTAACTTATTTCTTTAATCTTCTCAAATAAGCCAACTAACTCTTATATTTAGGACCGGAAGTAGTATCGTTTTAATTTTAACAATGTCACCGGAGGTCTTTGTTGGTTTTGGAAATAATAAAAGGTCTCAATAATTTCAACAATAATTGTGTGAGGTCCATGCAATATACTCTCATATTGTAAACAAGTTGTGCTTTTGGAATGGATTGGCATTCACAATGCCTATCTTTTCTTTCTTTTTTGTGCCTGCATGGATGAGTAATAACTGCAATTTTTTCAGACTCGTAGGCAACGCTGCTTGTTATGAAAGAGGTTCTGAAACAAGCACTCTCTGCACCATTCAGGACAAACCACCTTCAGAATTGACGAGGAACTGTTTTCCTGATAAATGCAGTAACCCATATCAGATTTCTAGTCCCAATTGCAAATGCGCATATCCGTATGTTGGAACTTTATCTTATAGAGCTCCTTCTTATATAAACATAACTGCCCTTGAGGAAAATCTTGTGAGAACATTCCAATCCCACCATCTACCTGTGGACTCTGTTTCTTTGATCAAGCCACCTTGCTCTCCATTTCAATGTTTTAAACTCACCGTACAAATCTTCCCTTCAGGCCAAGACCACTTCAATCAAACAATGATATCTGCAATGAGCGTTCTGCTAAGTAGCCTCAGTACAACTGAAGCATATACTTTCATTCTTGGTCTTGATAACTATGGTAATGTTAACTACTTTCAAACATTGGTTTCATTTATATTTTACTATTCTAATGGTTTCTAGCTTTCCAAAAAATTTATGAGCACATATAATTTCAAAGAAAATAATAATTTGGCCCTTATCTGTGAACCTCCATCTATGTGCCATGGGAAAAAAAACTTTATCATCTTAGCATTCAAATATGCAAATTTCTGCCAACTCAGCCCAGGGCAGCGATGAGATTTGAATCTTATCAAATTAAGAGCTTGAGAAGGGATTCTTAAGGGAGAGATATATAGAAGAGAAGGAGTGGGTAGAAAGAGAGAAAGTGACCCCTATTCTAACGCCAGCAGGCTGAATTAGGGTGAATTTTGAATATTCAATGTGTCAGGCAAGTCAACGTACTTTCATGACCCTCAAATGAAAGTTTAATGACAGGGGAGGACTAGACTAAGAGCTGATTAGAACTTTGAGGACTAACAGAGTAATTAAACATGTCATTTCATATTGAAAAAAGTATTGGTAATCCTCTATTCAGACTGTTTTGTGATAGTATCTTGCAATTTGTAAGGACTTGAAAGTTCAAGGAAATCATCAAACACCAGAATCATAATTGGAGCTGCAGTTGGAGGTTCTGTGTCGCTTGTGCTATTTCTCCTCGCAGGTGTTTATGCCCTTTGCCAAACAAGAAGAGCAGAAAAAGCGATGGAAGAAAGCAATCCATTTGGTCAGATAGCTTTATTCTATTCAGCACCTTAGTTGCTACTATGTCATATGCAATTTAGGTTTATCTGCATATTTGGCTTCACAAATGCAGGGAACTGGGATCTAAATGACCGCAGCAGCCCCAGACCTCAGTTACACGGAGCAAAGAGGTTCTCTTTCAAAGAACTTAACGAATACACGAACAATTTTTCACAAGCCAATGAGATTGGATCTGGGGGTTATGGGAAGGTATCGATCGTATTCTGGCTAAGAAATAGACACTAGCCTCTTAAATTCTAGAGGCCCCTTATTCTGGGACCGGTAGCATTGGTAAATCTAACGAAACCCCTAATGTGATACACAAAATGAAGTCATTGTTATTTGGAATCTTCTTACTATACTTGCGATAACATTGCAAAATCATCATGAATAAATTAACTGTGACGATACAACCAAGAACTGTTATATGAACAAGGTAGTGACAATGCTATTGTGCCTATGTTATATGTTTGTGCCTACCTTTTAATAGGTGAATGTCCGCAGGTTTATCGGGGAACTCTTCCCAGTGGACAACTGGTTGCAATAAAACGAGCTCAGAAACAATCAAATCTAGGGGTACTTCAGTTTAAAGCTGAGATTGAACTCCTTTCAAGAGTCCACCATAAGAATCTGGTTAGCCTTCTGGGATTCTGCTTCGAGAGAGGAGAACAAATGCTTGTTTATGAATTTGTTCCTAATGGAACCTTGAAGGATAGCATCTCAGGTAGAGGGTTCATCGATTTGGTATTGCTTAATTTTGAACCAATACTAAGTTGGATCGACATAACTGATTTGGCAAAATGGAACTCCTTGACTTCTCTATTTGGTTTTGGATTTTGATTGATTTAGTTTGTTTTGGTTCAGTTTAGTGTTCTTTTTTTCAATTTTTTTAAAAAATAATTTTAGTTAGACTTTTTGCTATTATAGGATATACAAATCAATCTCAAGAAAATTTTGGTAAAACAATACTCGAGAATATCATATCATTATTAGCTAAATGCGTTCTTCAATCGTGCACACACGCACATAACCAAATATAACGAAGTTAACTTGACAATTCAACTGATTATTTGGTTTTGGCGTGGGAACTAATTTCGGCTTCTTTTCTCCCCTTCAATTTTGTTTGGTTAAGTACCTGAAATAAACTAACTAGGTTATGATCTGTTCATATCCTTTCTTTTCACATGATGAAATCAAAAGCTTAAGCTGCTACTTGAAGGGTCAAGAATATTTCTTATCGTAACCTCTTTCAATGCGAATTGTCTATGCAGGGAAGTCCGGCATAAGATTGGACTGGGCTAGAAGGTTAAAAGTAGCCCTTGGTACTGCTAGGGGTTTGGCCTATCTCCATGAACATGCCAATCCTCCTGTTATACATAGAGACATTAAATCAACCAACATTTTGCTGGATGAACGCTTGAATGCAAAAGTTGCCGATTTTGGTCTTTCCAAGCCTATGGACAATTGTGAAAAAGATCACGTCACTACACAAGTTAAAGGAACAATGGTTAGTACAACATCCTCTAAACCTTTATACTATACAAAAAAAGCACAAGATAGAAAGAGACCGATCTCGTGCTTATCTAAATACTTTATCTATAATTAAATAATTATTCATTCTAAATTGTATGTTCCTTGAGAATATTAATAAAAGTATAACGCATCTATTAATCTTAGGCTAATTATGGTCTAGCTTCAACAGCATGTGTAGAACAGCTGTTTTTATTGAGTTTAGATATCACAACATATCTCCTTATTATATCTGAAATAAAGAGTTTTCTATAGAGTAGAATACTTGAAGAACTCCAAGAACATGACGCTCTTTTATTTGTAAATGGAGCATAATAATATGATGGAAGGCATATCATTGGCTCTAATTTATTTTGTTTTGGAGTAATATAGTGTTTAGTTCTGAAAGATATTCAGGTAACAATCTTACCGGAGAATTAGATGGCAATAAATTTTCTCTTTTTGAAAAATATTTTGGATCTTAGCAAATTCATCAAGTTCGTCACACAGGGCTACCTGGATCCGGATTATTACACGACTCAACAGTTGACTGAGAAAAGTGATGTTTATAGTTTTGGAGTGCTAATGTTGGAGCTAATAACTGCCAGAAAGCCAATACAAAGAGGGAAACATATTGTGAAAGTATTTCGGAGTACAATTGACAAGACGAAAAACTTGCATGGCCTTCAAGAAATTCTTGACCCAGCTCTTGGCTTAGGCTCTCCATTGAAGGAACTGGAGAATTTTGTTGATCTTGCAATGAACTGTGTTGAGGATTCAGGAGCAGACAGACCGACAATGAGCGATGTGGTGAAAGAAATAGAAAGCATGCTGAAATCTGCTGGTTTGAACTATATGCCTGAATCATCAGCGTCTAATTCAGCTAGCTTTGAGGAGGTAAATAATGTGACTACTTCCTCGCATGTTTGCAACAGTAATGAGTCTTTAGATTCGAGTTCATTATGCAATATTAGAAAGATTGAACCCAAGTAAATCTTCGACTCATGTTTGAACTGCAAGGCAACTTGTTTATCAAGTACTGCTAGACCAAAAAGGATCAAAAATAGAAAACAGTGTTTATTAAGAGTTTATAGTAGTCTAGAGAAGAGTTTGGAAAAGGTGAATTGTGTGTTTTTATTACAGAACTATCTAGCAAACATGTAAACAATGCACCTAAATTTCCTTTTCATCCTTCAAGTGATGTGTAAACTATTAGTCCTTGAACATATAGAATGAGGATTAATAATTTAATTTTGATGTATTTTGCTTGTTTAGTAATTCCTTTTATGTGTTCCTAAAATGGGAAGGGAATTATAATTTGAAAGAGGCATAGCTCTGTTTTGTGATGAATAATTGAATAAATTTCTTTTTTTCTTACAAGATGTTTAAATTATATACTGCTTTATTTTAACAATTTTGCATAAGTTTCTCTTAAACTTATTATAACATATTTAAATATAATATTCATTTCTTTTGTTAAAATATATTTTATTTGAAAATATATTTCTTGATGTTCTTAGTGCTTTTTGTGAATTTTTTTTATCATATCAAAAGTTATAAATTTTAAGGCTAAAATATGGAGTGCTTTTGATCCGTTAACTTTATACAATATTTTAATTTAATCCCTTAACTGTAAAAAATATACTTTTAGTCTTTTAACTCTAAAAAAATTGATGATATTTAGATCTTCAATATTAATAAGATATTTTTAAATATTAACATATTAATTTTAATTTTAAAAATAATTATGATTGTTACAGAAAATTATTATTTAAAATTAACAATTTTAAGATTAGAGAACTAAAAATACAATTTTAAGTCCAAAAATATAATTTTTAAAATTAGGGATCAAACTATAAATTTATATGAAGATAAATGACCCAATGCATACTTTAGCATAAATTTAACATATTTTAAATAAAAACCACATTTTTTCAGCTTTATGAATGATTTGAACTGTCAAGATAAATTATTTTTCTTTATAAATTATTTTTTTAGTTTTATAGATGATTCAAAATAGATTTTTTTTTAATGACAAGATTATTTTTCTTTTCCGTTGTTGGATCCATGTCCGATGTCGCCTTCACAGTCATAACCCGGAATACAGTGCCAACTGCCAACATGGCGAGAAATCAATAACGCGAGTGAGATGTTTTTTGAATTATGATCCTCTTGTACAGCATAATATTAAACATTTATTGACATTTTTTTTTGCCAACAAAAATTTATTGATATTTAATACAACATAGTACATATATTAATATGAATCGGATTGTATATGTTGCTTTTACATAAATCACTATTACATTAAAAATTTCTCTCTCCAAATGGATGCTCGTTTTCCTCAAATGAAATCTCACTCTTAATCCTAACCTATCCCTTCTCCGTAAGTGAGACTCAGGGAGTGTTTGGCAAAACCAAAACCACGGTTTCAGAATCACTTTTCCGCAAAACGAGGTAACCTCCTCCACATATTTACTTCGTAATCCGTAAAAGCACTTCTAAAACCATGGTTTAGTTTATATCCAAACACTCCCTCAAATAGGCTTTAAATATTAGGCCTTTCTTCGTATAGGAATTGGAGCCCAAAACCCAACTAATTGCCATAGCTTTTGGCATAATGGTTACACCAACAAGAGTATAAGAATACGACCAACCAGTGTTAATCCAAATAAAAGAAACTTAGACATCTTAAATATTATGTTGTAGGTTTAATTCTTGAGACAGTGTGTATAGAAAAAAAAATACTGTTGGGAGGGGGTTTCCATTACGGCACCTGACAATATTCCGAGAGATTAGTCTTTTAGGATACTCTAAACAACAAAAAAAAGAGTATAAGAATAAGAGAAATTTAGATGAAAGTAAGAAAAAATGGAAGCAAAGCATATAGATATGACCTATTCTTAACAACACCCGCGTCACTTAATATATTGTGACAACTGAGTCAAATAAAATCCCCACGTCATATTGTTCTTCTCTTCACAATTAGAGAGTCATTTCACTCTTTTTAAGGCAAGGGTTCAATTTCCAAACTAGATTTAGCATTCAAAACCACTCCTAATAACAAAATTCGCTTCAAAAATATTTTTTTTTACACAACAAAGGCTTGTTGATGGAAATATTATTTTGCGAGGTAGAGCATAATTAAAGATTAAGTCTTGAAGCTAGTATCGAGTTTTAACACTCAAGAATTGTTGGATAATAGAGATAATGTAATGCTTAAATTTAGCATGTTTAGTTTTTGTCCCATTAATTGATCTGATATATATGATAATTGTATATATTGATCAAGTTCCAATTAAGTGTGTGTGTATATAAATATCATAACGATAACTATAATTTTAAATCCTCGAATCAATGTAAATATAAAACCATTAATTTAGGTATTAAATGACCATTATAATCATACGGTACTCCAAAATTTTATATTTGCTTCAAATCCTAATCTTTATATTTTCTCTCCTCTCCAAAATAATATTTTCATTAGAAAGTTCTTGTTAAGTAGAAAAATATTTATGAAGGGAATTTTGTGATTAGAAGTGGTTTTGAGTACAAAATCAAGTTTAGAAGTTGAGTTCTTTGTTTTTCCCTTAAAAATGACGGAAGTGTTCTTTACTTCTTTAGTCCCGAAAAGAAGAAGAAAATGTTGGGAGGCTTATTTGATTCACCTGCCCCAATATACATGTGGCAGTAGAATTCTATATTTGTAGGAATAAAAGAAGCGTATCTTGTTACGTTGGCCGAAAAATAAACAAGAAGTGTATCTATCTTTTTCTTTTTTCCCAATGTGGAAGTGTATTTATGTATTCTACTACTGATATCAAACTTGGGAGTTAACTCTCTAAGTTTAATATTTTTACGTTTTTAACTAACTAAATTATATCGATTCGTTCTTAAACTCATGATAATTGTAAACTCGGCTAAACTTATGAGTTTATTTATCAACTTTACCGTTTTTAATTTTTTAGCTTGCAAAATCATGTCAACTCGCTCTTAAACACGTGCTAAATTTTAGATTTGATTATGTTTTTTGACTTTACATATAAATTTTATAAGAATTTTTTGGTTGAAGGTGATAAATTATGAACATTAATGGGTATAATTTCAATTATTTAAATTTAAAATACATTTAAATAAAATTGTTATCATTTTTTATATATTAATTATTTGATTATATACTTTTAATACCAATTTACTAATAAAAGTAAACTTTTACGAGTTTATGATTCGAGTGTATATCATTATCACGAATTTGTTTAAACTCGCGAGTTTAACAACCTTCGTCTATAACAAGGATACGAAACTGTGATTGGGAATAAGCATATTTTATATATTTTTATGAGTGTTTATATTTTCATACCAGGGAATCTCTCAAAATATCGATTTGTATGATGGTATGGACCAATTATTATTAAAACAACAAACCCGTTATTGCGTTTCTGTATAAAAGAATGTACACTGCTTATTGCCTGATTGATTTTAGTTTTTTTTTTTTGTCAAAAGATTGATTTTAGTTTATTTGAAATAATTTTACGTTATCAGACTAACGTACGAGAGGCATTATCTCGTAAGTGTAAAATCTTCTGATCATTAGTATAAAATCTATTTAATTAATTTGATTAAATTAAAAAAGTTAAGTAAGTTAGTTAATTATAAAAAATATGATATATTTTTTCTAAAACACCATAATTATTTTTCTTAATATCCTTCCTCCTTCACTTACTTGATTATGGTTGAAGAATGATTTATATGAGTAATTTAGGAAAAAATGATAAATATGACAAAAAGATCTTATATTTAGGATTAAAATTAATTCAATAATTAGATCCTATATCAAAAATTGGAGGAGTACCTCTTTCTCGTATTCTCAATGGAAATTCACTTCTTCTTCTTCTTTTTAATTTAATACCTTTTTTTTTTTGCCAAAATTTAATACCTATTGGAATTCCAAAAATGCCTTGTGAATGTAAGTTTCGGATGTGGAGATGCATCTTAAATTGACTCATGGTGACACTTTTTAGATATATATTGTGACAACAACAAAAAAAAAACTTGTTTGATGTACTGGATTGTATAAAAATTTTTGTTCTTTCCCCCAAAGATATCCTCTTTTTTACCTCAGAATGGTTAGCAAAAGTTTGTAGCTTAAAATATGTAATAAAATCTTTTTATTATGGGATATTCTTATTAATATTAAAAATCCTGCAATTTTATGCTTGGTTAAAAAACATCAACTAAATTGAAGAAAAGAATTCGTAAAAAGGATAATACAAGTTTGGATTCACGAAATGTATTTTTTAAGAGAACTTTAACCATAATATTCTTAGTCTAACAAAGATTAGTCTAAGGTCCAAAGTGATTTGAGTATACTATGAGTTACACCCGAAAAAATTTATATCAAATAATTAAAATTTAAAGCATCTTTTTTCAGTATTTTACCGCAAAAACACAATTTAAATTTATTGAGTCATTTTTTCATTAAATGAGACTAACAATGGTAAAATTAAGGATTAGAAATGTGTAGAGACTCCACTAAATCACGTTAGCAAAAAATCTACTCCCGTCCTCTATAATATATAGGTAATATTCTTTCAAATAAGTTGGTTTTATATATAAGTAACAATTTGTATTTGTCTAAAAATTTAATGATATTTTTACCCCTAATTAATTATATGTTTCTCATCTCTTTTTCTACTTATTCTCGCATAAATAAGTACATATTTGGGACGGGGAAAAAAAAAAGAATCACCTCCAGAAGTTAAGCGACTAATTTGTTAAAAGAAAGAAAAGACAACTAATTTATAGATATTAATATTAGTTAATTTAGTTATTCATAATAAATACTACCTTCAGTCCTTAATATAAAATCTCGTTTCACTTTTATTTTGGTTTAAAATATAAAACTCTAATCTACTTTGCCTCTCATATATATCTTTTTTTTTTTCAAAATAGTCTAATTCTAGCCAATACACTTGATTAGCAAGGATATTTTAAAAAAGATAATGCCTATTTATTATAAATAACTAATTTAATTAGTTTTCTTAATTTACTTAAATTACTCAACTAATTTTTATAAGTAGTGTGTCCTAAGTATTCATGAACGTGGGTTTAACGGAAAGAGTCATTGCCTTACAACATGGCGAACAAGGATCAAGTGCTGGCGAACAATGCACCTCTTATATATTACTCCTCTGAAAATTATAAGATCCAATTGATTTATTTGAGGAGATTAAGGAAGTAAGTTAAGTTGGTTATTTATAA